TCCTCAACTGTAAAGGGGAAGGAAGAGAAAACAAGGACAAGGCTTGTTAAATGTGAAAACACTGACAAATAACTGCCGATTTACTATTTCAGATTCAAGATTCAAGGCTTTTATTGTCATTCGTACATAGCTACAGTGTAGTTATGTCGATGAAAATCTTAGGTCACAGGCTCCTCCAACAGTGCAACACAATGAAACAGATAAAACAGTGCAAGTAATTACAATAAAATAGAATATAAGTAGTACCATAAGAGTCTATATACACAAGTGATAAATCATTTGTAAGTTGCAAACAGGTGAATGTTATGGATGTTCTTAGTTCAGGTGTTTAACAGCCGTATGGCCTGTGGAATGAAACTGTCCCTGAGTCTGGTGGTTTCCCTTTTTGAGTTATTATAGGTGAAAGTAAAAGCATCCTCTTTTTGGAAATAATGTGCTGTATGGTGGAAACCTAAATACAAAATATGGGTGTTTTAAACTGAGGACAATCCTTATATGTTCTTTACCATTGGGAAAGTCATGTTCACAAACATAGAAACATTTCAAGCACATATTAGCTAGGTCTTGAAAAACCTCTTTATAAAAAGGAATCTATTTATTTTTTCAGTTACAGACCTACGTCACAAAATAAACGTATCTATCATCGTCATAACTGGGTCAGATGGTGAAGAAAATAGTGCGATGATGAGCTTTTTTAGATAATAATTTGAGCGTCAGGCACCGATGTTCCAGGTCAGCCCTCAGAGGGAGCCTGAAGTCCCACAGCGCTGTTCTGCTGCAATTAATTTGGTGTCACACTTATGGTTTCTCTAAATAGCCTCACACCAAACTCCACTGGACCAGATTCTGAAGAGCATCATCCGCTAGGTCAGTGCACCGGAGCGCTTGTTTAATACCCGCTGTCGGCATACTTACAATACTGAGGTGACTAAAATCAAACACAACAGCAAAAGGTGGCTTTCATAGAACAGGATGTAATGCTTTTGACAAAGCAGACATAATTAGACAATTTACTAATCGATTAACAGATGGGGAAATTAATAACTGTTCTGAAAAATGTATCGTAATGAGCATTTTAAACTTTTATTAAATGTAGTTTTTGTAGACTAAAGACATCATTTATAAACAATAATAAAAATGTAGTTGATCAGCCAAATATTTGTCTGTTGCAGGCTTTGCTTTGGATAAAAAGAGTCGTACAAAAGCATGGGGAAATAATCCAAAATCCAAGAGTGAGTTCAAGTTCAGCACCAAGGACAGCTCAGGGCATGCGACCCACATCTGGTTTTGAATGCCTGACACACCCATGGCGAAGAAGATGACGAAGAACAAACAAGGATGGGAAAGTGTTATGACTATCAGGCAGACATGGCAGTGAACCCAAGACGGAGAGGGTCTGTCTTCCACTAAAAGGACACTATAGGCTCATGTTGGAGCTCATGTTAATGAGTTGCCTTGGTCTTCAAATAACCTCATTAATATTGATGATGAACAGCAGTCATCTATAGGTCACTCAGAGTTCTGACGAGTTCATCTACGAAGATGGATCGCAGTCAGACCAAAGTAGTCTAATTATGGTTATGGATCAAGCAGACAGGATTATCAATATTCATTGGAAAGTTTACGTCACAGACCAAGATAAAAAGGGGGGGTTATACAAACCCCTCATGTATGTTCATAAGGGTTGTAAGCACTGCAGATAAGCAGAAGACAGCCTGGCAAATCCCTTAGACTAACACAAGAACACGGCAATTAAATACCTTAATGTTCTTTAATAATAATTGCACGCCATGAATCAACACTCACTCATGCCATTCTTGAGCGGAGACATGACCTCCATGCTCTCCCGGGGTACCCTCAGCTGGTTGGTATCAATAAAGTAGGTGGTGCCACTCTGCTTGGTCTTTTCACCATCCGTCTCCATTGGCGTGCTGCCATCCTCTCGGTCGAGGGTCACGCCTATCACCGTAGGGAAGTCCGCCTGAGCCGATACAAAACAGGACACAATACAGGTTATGACACTCAAAAAGGGACTTATTGTGTGCACCACTGTGTCACCAGACAGAAGGAAGTGTGCATCTACGGTCAAAGGGTTTGCTGGTGTATTCAAGTAGAACAAAATCCTGAATCCTATATTAAACAGCTCACAAAATGCTCTGTGAATCATCTTGAGTCATGACGTCTACTTTTGTAAATTGTAATATTTTTTAGTTTTGAAATATTCCGCACGCCTCTGATTTGATAGTTTTATTTAAAAAACGTCATCTATACCTATACTTTTGCTTTAACAATGTACATTTCCTCTGCGAGGATCCTTGTGTCAAAATATAATCATGTCAAATGTTGTTTTTTGAGAAACGTGAATTCAGTTGTTGAATAGAGAGTTCTTGTTCTTCAATACAATTGATTAAAGTCGAAACTATAAGGCCTTTAAAAATGGTAATAAAGTATATTGTGTAGTATATCAGATGTATTGTTATCTGTTTGGATTTCTCAGAGGCACCAAATTGGGTATTGATAATTGTGGAATTTCACTGGGTGTCAATAACTACATATCTGTTTTTTTGTAACATCCCTAATAAGTACAACATATTATATTTGAAAACAGGAAAGTGTAAAGATGGTGATGATAGGTTGGGGTTAAGCATTATATCACACAAAGTATACAATATAACTGAATGTTATACCATATGATGACCAGTACATCCAATCGGGGGTATTTTCACAGGGCCAATATTACAGAGATAAATGCCATCTTTAACATTTCTCTTATCCAACTGATATTTATACAATCAACATTCTACCTAAATTATAGATCATTCAAAACCTAAGCAAGCATCCAGAAAGATCTGAACTGAATTCATGCCGTCTGTCTCCAGGGTGACAGCCCTCATTTCTTGACATTGACAGACCCCAGGAGGGAAGAGAAGGATGCTCAGAGGAAGACAAATGCACATAGTTAATCAGGTCATCTGAGTGATCCACTTACCTTGGGACAGTCTTCTCCTGCATAGCCAGCTCTTACAGTGTATGAGCCAATGTCGAACACCAGAGCTCCCACCTCATCTGCAAAGAATCACAACAAATGTGAATTAAACTCTAAAAATATATATATATATATAGACCTGAGAGGTATACGTATAGTTTACCTCCTCATCAAATACTATACATACTTTGTTTTGCACATTGATAATCTGTGCTCGATCCACATGTTGGTTATTAATGCCTCGCCAATTAAATCGAAATGTTAACTAAGTGCAGAAATCTGAATCAAAATAGTTATTAAGACGAAATACAGAAAGTAAATTAATTACTTTAACTAAACAATTGTAAAATAACACCATTTATTGACCCTGATGCAGAGGCTATTGATTGTTAAACTAACTCCTCTGATACAGTACGATAAATGGCAAGCTCTATGTACAATAAACATCGTTTTAACTTCTGAAATGTGGTGTGAAAATGCAAATCACAAGTGGAATTGTTATATATCAGGTTAGTATGTTGTACGTACTAACATTTTACTTTTATGTCCTCTCAACTTTCACAAATTCGCTACACAGGCTGTTTTTCTGGATTTGTCAGATCTATTAAATAATAGTAATAATAATAATAATAATAATACATGTTATTTATATAGTGCTGTTCCTGGTGCTTAAAGCAAAAATAAAGTGTTTTAGTATATTGTAGTAAAGCTGCCTTTAGATAGATAGATATTTACTTTATTGTTCCCAATTTGGGAAATTATTTTGTTACAAAAGCAGAAGTGTGTTCAGAAATTAAAATACAAATACTTAAAAAGTGGAATAGAGAGTTAACAATACAAAATATAGATTGCATGAGGTTCCCGTTGCTGAATGTAACTTTAATAATATGGCATGGTTATCTTTACAATCAACATAGGGCCAGACAATAATTCAATAAGATAATTGATTGTCTTTCAATATAATTGTTTCATGCAGAAAACAGTCCAAAGCATCTCAAACTTTTAAACTCCATTACGCCAGAATACAAACAATACCATAAAACAGGGTCCTCTCTGTAAAGCAATGGTGGATAATAAATTGTAAAGGTCAACTTGCAACCCATATGTTGTGGGTCCGGTTTTCCAAGGTGCAATATTTTCTGTATTCCCTGAGCTTTATTATTCATCCCTGCATGCATACTTATATGGGAATGCCCCATTATACTTCTTAAAAATATACTAATTACTCTGCATTTGTGTGAATGCATATGTTCAGTGTAAATCTGCACATTTACGTATAATCAGTCTAATATTGTATACTATTCTTAGCTGTATATTTACTTCTAAACATCTATAAAACTTTGTAAATGTAGAGATCTGATCTGCAATGATGCTAGTGAAGCTTATTTGAAAGGCATATTAAAGTACCAAAAACAACCGATCCATCTAATAAAGAAGTTATTCAGTTCTGCAAAATACATCTGAAGTTTTATCTTCGATTACATAATGTCAAGATGTAGAGACCTTATCCCGAAAAACGGTTATATCAAGCATAATGGAAACATGTATCTCCAACTCCAAGAAAGCTTTAACAACGTTACACAAACGGAACTGAATGTGAGATCGGGACACACACTTTCATTCATTTCCTTGCTAGCTAGCTGGCAAGCTAAGCGGCACCGGAGTTACAGGGTTGTTACATAAACACACCTAAGATCAAGCCACAACACTACGCACTTAACATTGTAAATGCACATATTCTTAAAAACAATTAAAGATGTTCGCAAGAATGTTGCTTCAGTCTACCGCGGAGCTAAACGTTAGCACAGATAGCATAGCAAGCTAACTTTAAAGCTGGCTAAAGCGTGTACAACGGTTTCGTTTTATTTTAATCATTAGAGCCAACTCACCGCCTCCATACACTCCGCCACTCATGGTTTGGATTATCTCAACGGCAACAATCTTAATATAAGTTATTAAAGCAGAAACACAACCGCTAAACGGTTAATCACAACAAAGGGAGTATGTTAGCATGGATCAATCTAACAAAGCAGGCGCCACACGTCGGACCAATCAGGACGCAGCACAGCGTGGGTACTTCCGCTTCAGCTGTGACGGAAACATCCTGCAAGAACTTCCATGCTCTGAAGTGGACGTGGCCCTGCGTTCTTTATATCAACGTGAGTGAAAAACTGATACATAAGAAGCACTAACTTACTTTTAACCATTACAAAGTTATTTGCATGAAGTGTAAGAGCATGTTTTATAACGCTGAGGTGATGTTAGTGAATGTTTACTGCAGGACCTTGGGTCACGGTCGTTTAGACTAAACAAGATTGACGCTGATCTCGGCAACCATGTCACTTCAAGCTGCAAAAGTAGCAACACTACTACTTATTTGCAATATCTGAAATGCTAACTTCGTATTATTATTTTTAGTGTGTACATTCAGTGATATTGTAATTTCTTACTGTTTGGTTTTTATGTTCTTAGTTCCATATTTAAAGTCCAATTTTGCACAGCCTCGTGGTTGTCCAAAGTTGGGTTAATGCGCAAGCGCACAGGTTGTAAAATGTTGAGCAACTTGCTTGCTAGATATTTTAAGTATATGAAGATGTATGAGTTTATAATTGATAGACTATCCAACTCCACAAGCATGAGTAAGATCTAGTCACAGTTCTGATGCATATTGATTAACGGGTGACTTGTGTTATGTTCACTTCCTGCTATGTTGTATACAGGCACATGTTTTATATGAGAATAAAATGCATCTTCAGTATTGATCTATTGTATAGTAAAAAAAAAGCAATGGAGCCCAAGGTGACCTCTCAAAATTGCCTTTTTAGTGTCACCAACAGTGCAAAACACGAAGAGATTTCTTTTCATTACATTGACAACTATCAAAAGCAGAACATGTATTTACATTTTAAACCAGTGGATATTTGGTACAGTAAAATTGGGAAACGTGATATCAATTAACACATTTGTTGTAGATTAATCTTAAATCAATATGGTTCATTTTGATTAATCGACTTGTCTTTTCGGAACGAATAAGAATATCTTTCACAATTCTGTTATGTAAATGTATCACCTAGGAATCAATATAACTAAAAGGAATCAATATAACTAAAAGTTCCTATTTTTATACCAGCAGTCTCTGGTCAACACCTGTTGACTGTTGTCATTCCCTGAAGGACATTAACTGTGTCCTGCATACGACTATGACACAGTTCAAGCAATTTTTTTGAAGTAGTTCATTCATTTTGAAATTGAACGTTAACTTTTGAGTTGCGCACCAGATACCGAAAACAGCAGATACGGATTTGAATGGTCCCGTAATTGACTAATCAATTGACGTACAAATGCTAAGATATTACTTTGATAATCATGTAATTGAATTTTTAATCTATGAAACAGATATTCTATGATTCAGGATTTGCAAATGTGATAATTTGTATAGTTTTCCTTTTTTTATTTTAAACTGAATAATATATAATTTTTCGAAATGTTATTGACTAAACCATTGCTCAATATATCTAAAATACTTAATCAACAGAATAATAACTATGAAGGTTCCAGCTCTAAACATAACAAGCTCATCTGAAAGCTTTTATTTTGTTCTGTCAACAATCATACATGAGCTTCAATTTTTTTTAACTTGTAAAATAACTTTTTAACTTGGTTTACTTCCAGCACCCATGCAGCGCTGCCTCACCCTGACCTTTGCCCGTCACAACCGGCTCCTATTGAGAAACAAATGTGCATCTGCCCACTGCCAGCAGTCAGCAGCCATGTCAGGTCTCCTCATCAACCAGCCCAAATACTCCTGGCTGAAAGAGCTGGGCCTGTCTGAGGACAACCCTGGCGTTTACAATGGGAGCTGGGGAGGCAGCGGCGAGGTCATCACTTCATACTGTCCTGCCAACAATGAGCCAATCGCCAGAGTGACCCAGGCGACCATGGCAGAATATGAAGAAACTGTCCAGAAGACGAAGGAGGCTTGGAAGATATGGGCAGATATTCCAGCTCCCAAAAGAGGGGAGATAGTGAGGCAGATTGGAGATGCACTTAGAAAGAAGATTAACGTCCTTGGGAGCCTGGTGTCTCTAGAAATGGGCAAAATCTATGTTGAGGGAGTGGGAGAAGTTCAGGAATACGTTGATGTCTGTGATTATGCTGTTGGTCTGTCGAGAATGATTGGTGGGCCAATGCTGCCATCAGAGAGACCAGGACATGCCCTGATCGAACAGTGGAACCCAGTTGGTCTTGTCGGTATCATCACTGCCTTCAACTTCCCAGTGGCTGTCTACGGCTGGAACAACGCCATCGCTCTGACCTGTGGCAACGTCTGCCTCTGGAAAGGAGCTCCAACCACACCCCTTACAAGTGTTGCAGTTTCTAAGATCGTGGCCGAGGTGCTGGAGCGGAACAACCTGCCTGGTGCTATCTGCTCCATGACCTGCGGAGGTGCTGATATCGGCTCAGCCATGGCGAAGGATGAGCGGGTGGATCTGGTGTCGTTCACCGGAAGCACTAACGTTGGCAAGATGGTGGCCATGACGGTGCAGGATAGGTTCGGTCGTAAGCTTCTGGAACTCGGTGGTAACAATGCTATCATCGTGTTTGAGGATGCTGACCTGAATCTTGTGGTGCCCGCCTCCGTCTTTGCAGCTGTGGGAACCGCTGGCCAGCGCTGCACCACCACCAGGAGGCTGATGCTGCACGAGAGCGTCCACGACACAGTGGTTGAGAGGGTCGCCAAGGCCTACAAACAAGTCAGAATTGGAGACCCCTGGGATCCCACCACCCTTTATGGGCCTCTGCACACCAAACAAGCTGTGGATCAGTATCTGGCAGCTATTGAGCAGGCCAAGCAGCAGGGTGGCACCGTCGTCTATGGCGGAAAGGTGATGGACCGGCCTGGAAACTACGTAGAGCCCACCATCATCACAGGGCTTGCGCATGACGCTCCCATTGTCCACACTGAAACCTTTGTCCCCATACTGTACGTCCTCAAGTTCAAGACAGAGGAGGAGGCGTTCGCCTGGAACAACGAGGTGCAGCAGGGCCTGTCCAGCAGCATCTTCACCAAAGATATGGGTAGAGTTTTCCGTTGGCTGGGGCCCAAAGGATCCGACTGCGGCATCGTGAATGTCAATATTCCTACAAGTGGAGCCGAGATCGGAGGAGCCTTTGGTGGAGAGAAACACACGGGAGGCGGAAGAGAGTCTGGCAGTGACTCCTGGAAGCAGTACATGAGGCGTTCAACCTGCACGATAAACTACAGCAAGGATCTTCCTCTGGCCCAGGGAATCAAGTTTGAGTAAAGCCTTCGAGTGATTTGTTTGAGCATTCAATGATCCCAAAAAGACAACACTAAGTGTTTTAGAGGCAGAGTGTTACCCAACAAATGCTAGACAGTTATCATTGCATTTCTGCATTCTGAAGATTCCGTTAAAGTTTTACAAAATGTCTAATCATTTGGGATCGGTTTCATTTTTGTCGTTTATCAGATCTTTCTATGGTTGTAGCATCAGATATTAATCCTTGTATGAAAAAAGTTAATGGTTAAAGGTCAAATACTGTTCCCCCACTTGTTGGTGTGCACTTTTCTACTAGCACTTACAAAGTTTAAGTGCTAGATGTCTGTAACAGATACTATATGTACGGTGTAAAAAAATAATAAATGATACCTTTTATTTTGGAAGAACAACTGGCGTGAACTCATTCATGTGTAGATGAAATCATTGGAGTGCATTTTGGCATTGATAAATGAAATTGTGTCATTAACATTTCAAACTTAAAAGAGGTAGCTATTAAAACACTAACTCAATTAAATGCTTTGTCTACATCTAAAGCACCCTATAACAGAATATGATTTCCAGACAATAAAAAAAATACTTGATGTTGACATTTGGAGTGTGCTGACATTTTTTTTTAATCAACTTTCATAAAGGGAATTTGAAGAAGAACCAGGAGTCCCTTACACCTGGACCAGTACGACATCAGAACATAGAATTGCAGCTCTCTAATCTTTATTGTTTTTCCCCTGGGTCAATCAAGTATCAAAAGCCATTGAATTTTTTTAGCAATATAACAAGCTTCTCAAACACCCATTACAATACATTTCCAATTACGTTTGATATCCTCTGCATCTTAAAATAAAAAACAATGAAAGACATTATGTATTTGGTGTGATTATATTCTGATTTGACATAGTAGCATGCACACTAGAATGACTAACACTGAGGGCACTAAATTGAATTCAGCCATTGGTCAGTTTTATTATTTGCACCTGCGATTTAACCACCATGACATCACAGACGTTGAATTGTCTTCAATGAAAAACTATTTCAGATTTCCATTCTGAAACGTATTTCAATAGGGATAGGATCTCAGTATCTTCTATTGTAAAGTATATCACTATAGTATTAAAGACCAAAATCTCTGTCCCTTTAATAGAAATACTACTCCATCTCTCATCCGCCATGCCATCCATATGCTCACCCTCCCACTCGGCAGTTCTCTGCCTCATACTCCAGCTCGGTCTCTCTCTCTCTCTGCATTTACTGCTCTTCCCAGCAACATCTCAGCTGAAAGGCAGAACTGAAACGACAGCGCTCTGTACGACTCATAATCGAAGCCATTTAGGAAGTATGCAGAAAACGCTCCCTCTGCTACTCATCTGAATTGGAAAAGGTAGAAAAGCTTTGATTATTTGCCTAATTTGAGAGGTTTGGGGTATGCATTAGTGTGCACATTGTCTGGTGTTTCTTCTGGATATATTCATATTATTAATTTGAAATGAAAGTAAATGTATATCTTGGTAAAAAAATCCAAGCAAACCAGTTTGAAATATTATTTATATTCAAGACAAGCTCAAAGGAAGCCCTTCAATGTGGACGTGGATCATAATTTCAGTTAATACAGACTTGGGTGTGGAGCCCAAGCTAACAGTTAAGTCACCACTGCAGAACTACAGTATACAGAGGAATCACTGGTGGCTGGTATTTTGGTTGTGAGCTCATTAAACCGATCTATCTTCAAAGGTTATGCTTGGCGACTAGGAGGTAATGCCTTATTTCGTGCTCTGAACCTGGGGGGCACTAAAATGTCTTCTGGGCTCATAGTTATACATTAATGATCATCTGGTGTCCTATTAGTAGCAGCTATAACAGGATGCATTTGAATAAGGTTAGCACATTAGGGTTGTTCCTCGCTTCCCTTAAAAACAAATCCCATGCAAGGCTTGTGTGATTCACTTCTTTGGAAACTCAGAGCATGTTAGTTCATGCTTTATGTTGCTTGTTGCACCTCTGATTTACAGAAGTGTCTGGGATTCCCCTGGACTGAAACACTCTCACTTCTTCTCTTTGCACATTTCCTCTGCAGCTTCTCCCTGAAACAAAAAGCCATAAACGCCTGTCATACTCATTCTGCTGTTAATTGACTCTTTCATGTACATTTTACTCATGTAACAGGTGCTTACATTCGGGCAACTTATAATAAAATGGGTATGAAACATTTTTCATGTTACTTTTAGTCACAGGATAGTCTTTTTAGCTATTACATATTGTGTTCACCTGTTCAGCAATTTATATGTGCATGTTTTTTTATAATTCTGTTCTCGAAAGGAGACAAACCGGAGTTTTTTTTTGTTAAATGTATTGCAGCAAGATTAAAATACTTTTGTTGATGTCCCTCCTGTAGTACAAAACGAAGACATCATAATTCTCTACTGCGTGTACATGCCTCTGTTCTGCTGTATTCACTTGGACAGCAACAGTGCTTGGCCTTTGCCATCAGCAAGCCTGACTCCACAATCGGTGTCCCGATAGTGAGACTCCAACAGAACATGAGAGGCATTATCACAGAAATGATGAGGGCTCTTCACAAAGCTGCCGCTGTGACAGTCTCTCATGGGCCAACAACAGCACAGAGATTAGACAAGAACCTGATACAGGGACAGAGCAAACTACTGGTAGTTACGCTCTAGACTTACACATGATCTGAAGTGATCTCTTCTGAGAAGCTACACGTGAATGTCAGTGTGGAGTCCTACCAACCATACATTCTGATTCACATACAGTGGAGGAAGTTTTATGATTTTTTGCCCCTGCAAAATAACATGCACAATAGCAGCACACATGAGCCAATACCACAAGAGTACTTATATTTACAAACAGTATTAACAATTTTCAAAAAGACAATGTGTTGTTTAAAGAGATAGTTCCTCAGCAGCATTTGATTCAAGATGGATAATTTCAATTGGGCTAGTCAAACCCAAGCTCTGCAAGTCAGCAAGTAAAACCCGGAAACTGTCAACATCTATTTTCCCTCATCACACACACAGAGAGAGAGAGAGAGAGAGAGAGAGAGAGAGAGAGAGAGAGAGAGAGAGAGAGAGAGAGAGAGAGAGAGAGAGAGAGAGAGAGAGAGAGAGAGAGAGAGAAGTGGTGTGTGAGCCCAGCGAGGCACGCATATTTTAAGTCACTTTGCACTCTTCAAGAGGGCCCTTTTTTCAATAATCCATTATGCATAGCAGCTCTGGCTCTCCCTGGTATTTCTCCTACCTTCTTGACGTCAGTTGCCATTTGTGAGGGTTACCCTGGCAACGGCCAGCCTCCCCGGGAGATGTCTGGTGGATAAGACGGCCCTGATAAAGCCTTTTAAGGTTCTACTGTTGCTACACCTTTTAATTGCCTTTGATACAGTGGAAGTATTACATGGGGGTCGTCGGGGAGTGTCTCTACATGTGGGCAAAAAATGGGAATGTGCAGATAAAAATAGACATTGAGGAGCTGCTTCAGATTGAGGTCCCATTATCTTCACTTGATTCGATCACCCACGTATTAGGTATTTTTTTTAGCTGTTCTGTGAAACTGAATTGTGCATGATAGGTCTATTTTTGGACACGATTTTCTCTACTCCTCCGTTACACGAAGGACACGAGTCTACAACCCATTTTAACAATCTGACATTGTAGTGATGAGATAACATGTAAATAATAGATAAAGCATCCTGCTGGTTGTTAAGCCTCTGAACAATACGTGGATGTAATTATGAGATGATGTGAAAAGACCATACATCAACCACGTTTTTCATGTAAGCTATTAAACTGTAATAAAATCTGGCAAGGAAACATATTTATGCACATTATTGATATTCTATTACAGTATATTCAAATATATAATGGCAGCAAAGACTATTTTAATTTTGCATCTATGCAAAACATCAGATGGCAGAAAGTAGGATGAAGAGAACGGCTGTCTACAAATGCCAACCTGTTGTTAGTTTTAAGCTTTATTTACACAGTAAATACATGGATACCAAAACTGTAAAACCTACCTCACATTCAAATGATTTCATTCAGCTGCCTGACTGTTACTGTAAGTTACCGCACGACCCATGCAAATTTGCATTGATGCAAAAACGTCTCACTGGTGCGAAACAATACAGTTCAGATACTGTAGTGTACACCATACCTGTTCCGAGCTCCAGGAGGCTATTTATAGCCTCACCAACATGTGTGTCTTTTTTTTTTTTTCAGACACCAGGCTATTGATGTGCTATTTTTACAGTGTCAACGTGCTCCCTCCCTCTCTCTGGTTGCCAAGCAATGGGATAAGGGACCCGATTGGCCAAGGATGTGCTTTTGGACACCTTGACTCTGATTCTCAGCTGGCTAATTAATTCACAATTTTCACTAACTAGGCAAACGGCAGAGGAGTTGTTTCCTTTTTATTGTATTTGTTAAATGTCATTCAATCTGTGGTCCAGAAATGCTAAAACATATTGTCGTAAGAAATAACCTGTTAACTGAAATATAGTGTATGACTTCTGTCAAATTGTAGTTGCATGTATGGCATCTATCTTTGAGCATCTATATGACACAGACAGCTTGGGCTGTTGCAAGATATTGTCATCTTTAAAACAAGTTAAGGCAAACACGTGTATAACCATTCAGTTGTTATGATGTCATGATGAAGCTATAAGAACAATTTTTTCTCTGATTTAGGGAGAGATTTGAGAGGTTATCATTCAGTATCATCCAACACCCCTAAATTGCATGTGAGGGTATTCATTCTTTCTCAGTGTCTAGTATGGAGGAATTAATAAACACATTTTTGTTCAGAAACATACACATAACCCGTACAATGCTGTGTTTCATAATGTATTGAAACACTACAATTTTCCAGGCTGCACTAATGACAATAAAACCACAACATATGTTTCTGCTAATCCTAATCCTCATAATGTGTTTAGGGGGAAATTGGTCTGACACACCTAAACTACTGCTGTGTGTGAATTCAATTAGACTTAATCTGACCCCATGCCACTCCGATAGGAAACCAAGGGCTGGGCAACTTTCATCTTCCCTCCATTGATTGTGGCTCGTGCAGAGATATGGAAAAGCCTAACCCACTGCTTCCTTTCATTGGCTCCATTAAAAATGCATCCTGTCCTACTGGAGAGGGATCTTTTTCAATGAGCCAACTGCAGGCCAACCGTGGTGTGCCAGGGTGAGACTTGGCACAGCTGTCTAATGGCAAAACCAAATCCTCACAGCTTTAACTTTGTTTTGTTGGAGTAACGTCTTAAATACTGAATATACTTTGAATAAGAGTACCTATTATAAGCATGTCGTGCTTGCAACAAACTCAATTGCTTATTTCGTTGTTGTAATTCATTATTGTATTCATTACCTCAAAT